GAGAGAGAGAGAGAGAAGGAGAGAGAGAGAGAGAGAGAGAGAGAGAGAGAGAGAGTGAGAGAGAGAGAGTGAGAGAGGAGAGATAGACAGCGAGAGAGAGAGAGAGAGTGAGACAGAGACCAAGAGAAAGAGAGAGAGAGAGAGAGAGAGAGAGAGAGAGACAGAGACCAAGAGAAAGAGAGAGAGGAACGAAGACAGAGAAACAGAGAGATGGGAGAGAGAGAAAGAGAGCGAGAGAGCGCGAGAGAGAGAGAGGCGAGAGAGAGAGAGAGAGAAAGAAAGAGAAAGCTGGAGTGAGAGCAAGAGTGGGGAAGAGTCATGGATGGATAGAGGTAGAGAAAGCAAGTGAGAGAGTCATCATAATTAAGAACTGATGATGAGTTTCGTTATTTCACAGCTAACCCGTGCACGACCACGTTCTGTCAGAACGGAGGTAAATGCAGATTCGCCAACCACAAGGCCCAGTGTGACTGTCAGCCAGGCTGGCAGGGAGAGTTCTGTGAGAGGAAGCTGCCACCTTGTCTGTCAAACCCATGCTTCAACGAGGGAATCTGTCGCAACGTCAACGAAGACGAGTTTCGCTGTCGTTGTCGCGAAGGTAAGGGGTGATACTCCATTAGGAGTGTTCCCAACTTTAATGTCATTAATGGTTAGGGTTATGTTATAGGTTAGGTTAGGGTTAGGGTTAGGGTTAGGGTTAGGATTATCAGTCATTAATTATTAATCATTAATCATTAATGATATCAAAGTTGGGAACACTCGTGACTCCTAAGGGAGCGTTAGCCAAGGTAAGGCAGCGCTTGTATTGCTGCGGGCTCCTTGCAAGTTCATATTACTCACTGTGTATGTATGTGTATCTATGCGTGTGCATATAACTATGTTTGCGCATATACATGTGTGTTTAATCAAATATCGTAGACTGTGAAGAACAAGTAAAATTACTCTGGGTGTAACTTTAGGCTCTTTGTACTTATATTGTTTTTTGTGTGTGTTTTTGTGTGCTTTTTGTGCCTTTGTTTTTTATGTTTTGTGTGTGTGTGTTTATCGTGTTTTTTCTAGTGCCAACGCTGCCAGCGCTGATCATTCCAACAGGAGTAAATAATAACAAATTGTTAAATTGCTTCCGGATAACTGTGAACGTTGTTGTTGTGTGTTTGCAGGCTACAGTGGCCAGCAGTGTGAGAAGCTTCCGGATAACTGCAGGAACAACCGCTGCAGTAACGGCACGTGTGTCAGCAAGCCGGACGGATACGTGTGTCTGTGCTACGCTGGCTTCTCCGGTCCCACGTACGTACTATCCTGCTAATCAACCAGCCACCGCACATGGGCATGCACACACCACCGTACCGTAGGGGGTAACCCTGTGATGCAGATGTCTCTCACTCTTACTCACTTGGTGGAATGATGTGATTGTCTTTGGGATGAATGACAATCATCAAAATGAATCATCATAAATCTGTATAGTGTAGTATCAGTGGGCTCTCTCAACTCTATCATGGGCATGGCCCGTGAGAAAAAAAAATTTTCTCACGAGAGTTCCGGACCCCAGCCAATCAGCGCACTCCATTTACTCGACTTCCTCGAAGCAACAATGTAAAATTTGTGTTAACCTAACCCTAACCCGAACTCGAACCAGAACAGTAACACTAATTATAATCCAACCAGGTTTGTCTTATATAGGCACCATATATTACAAAACACT